GACACGTTCACCTAGATTAGTGTTTAGTTGAATAACTAGGTTCTAGAGCTTAGCCACGCTGACACAACAAACAACTATCACAGCTTCTCCAAGAGCCCAATATCTGCTGAAGTTTACGCAGAGGCCATTTTTTCAGTAATCTGAAGTTCTCAGTGAGTGTTCAGGTCACAGTACCATATCTATTAGGAGAGAGTTACTGGGTTTGTTTGTTTTTTGTTTAATTTCCTGGCTCCTAGAACTGACTTAAAAAAAATTAAAACTTCCCAAACTGGCCAGGCATGGTGGCTCACGCGTGTAATCCCAGCACCTTGGGAGATCAAGGTGGGTTGATCACCTGAGGTCAGGAGTTCAAGACTAGCCTGGCCAACATGGTGAAACCCCATCTCTACTAAAAATACAAAAATTACCCAGACGTGGTCGCAAGCACCTGTAATCCCAGCTACTTGGGAGGCTGAGGCAGGAGAATCACTTGAACCAGGAGGCGGAGGTTGCAGTGAGCCAAATTTGTGCCACTGCATTCCAGCCTGGGCGACAAGAGTGAAACTCTGTCTCAAAACAAACAAACAAACAAAACTTCCTGAACATGACCCAGGCTTCCTTAAGGAGGGGAGAGTTCCCAGCCCTAACATTGACCCCAAGCACAAAAACATCCCTTGCGCAGTGTTTTTGGCAAAATGTTGCCCTCCAGTGTGGCAAAAAACTTTATTTTTATTTTTATTTGTTGAGACTCTCACTCTGTCACCCAGTCCGGAGTGCAGTGGTGCAATCTTGGCTCACTGCAACCTCTGCCTCCTGGGTTGAAGCAATTCTTCTGCCTCAGCTTCCAGAGTAGCTGGGATTACAGGCGTCTGCCACCACGCCTGGCTAATTTTTGTATTTTTAGTAGAGACAGGGTTTCACCATGTTGGCCAGGCTGGTCTCGAACTCCTGACCTCAGGTAATCCACCCGCCTCGGCCTCCCAAAGTGCTAGGATTACAGGCATGAGCCACCACACCTGGCCTATGGTGAGAAACTTTAGGACAACCAGAAAGGTCCACCCAGAGCCATGTTAAGGCCTTTGGAGGCTGCTGCATTTGTAATTCTAAATTAAATTTACATTATAAAATAATAGCTTGTCAGTATAAAGTCACAAACTCTGGATTTTTCCCCATAATGCTCCTGACAGTTATTTAAGTTTTTTATGGGGAAGCTCAGGGTCTCCCTGTCACCCAGGCTGGAGTGCAACTGGCACAATCATGGCTGACTACAGCCTCAAATTCCTGGGCTCAAGTAATCCTCCTGCCTTGGCCCACTGAGTAGCTGGGACTACAGGCTCACATCATTGCACCCAGCTAATTTTTTTATTTTTTGTATAGATGGGGTCTCACTATGTTGCCCAGGCTGGAACTCCTGGCCTCAACTGTTCCTCCCGCCTCAGCCTTCCAGAATGCTGGGATGACAGGCATGAGCCACTGTGCCCAGTCTAGTAACTTTTTACAAAATATCAAGTTCTCTCTCCCCATAATTGCTTCAGGACCCCTGCTCAAGTATGGTTCTCCATGTCTAGGGAATTTCAGCCCCATCCTCCCGGGCTGCCCAATTATACTCCAGAGTTCTTGCTGATGCAGTTACCTCGGAGGTCAGTGAGTGGGCAGAGAGAACCAGATCCGCCTGCTGGATGCTCCTGATAGTTATTTATGCAACTATCCGCCATGATGCTCCTGATAGGTATTTATTTAACTTTTTTACAGGGAGGCTCAGGGTCTCACTGTCACCCAGGCTGCAGTGCAAGTGGCGCAATCATAGCTGACTGCAGCCTCAAATTCCTGGGCTCGAGCGATCCTCCCACCTTGGGAGGCAGGAGGATGGTCTTCTTCCTCAGGAGTCCCTGTCTGCCCAGGGGCAGCTGTCACTGGAAGCTTCTAGCTGTGAGACTGCTAGGAATGGGGTGATGGCTGAAGGGCCCACCACTAAGAAAATGGTTAGTCACCCCTTTGACAATGCTTCCTTTGTGCCATGCCTGTTCTGAGCACTTTGCAAATGTTGACTCATGTAAACTTCAAAGCCCTCATGATGTGGGCACAACTGCTATCCTCGTTCCTCATTGTGCCGATGAGGAAGCTGAGGCCAGCAATGGCTAAGTAACTAACCCAAGGTTACCCAGCCGGGAAATGCTGGAGCCGGGAATAAGCCCGGCTATCTGGTTCCAGAGTCAGTGTTACATGGCTCTGACCTCCCAGGCAGTTCTTCCAGGAATCTCCCTTACTTCCCAGGGCCCTTCCTAGGTGGAACCCCTTTCTGAGCCTCCTTTTCCCATCAGCCCTGTCCTTGACCGAGGCACGCCAGACTTTCAGAGCCAAACGCGATCATGTTGCCTACAATTGAGGAAACAGAGGCCTTGAAAGGTGTGTGACACACCTATGTCACCCCCAAATCATAAAGGTAGTTGGGGGAGAAAAAGAAGCACGTGTGTAAGAACGGGGAATATTTATGAGGTTCTCACTGCATTCCAGGCACTGGAGACCCAATGCAGACAAGACCTGGCCCCTGCTCAGGTGGCGATCTCAGACTGGGAGGGAGGACACATTGAAAGCCAAGAAACAAAATAAATTTCTAATTTAGCAGCAAGTGCTCTTGAGAGGGCAGTAAAGTGAAGGAGGCGGGACTGGGAGGACCTCGGGAGGTGAGCTTTCGCCCAGATCCTCACCTCGCTTTAGGAAGGGAGAACAGAGGCAGTCTTCTGTCCCAACATCCTTCTCCCCACAGTTGGGAGAATAGCGCTGGTGGATTCTTTGTTTGTTCATTTTGTTTTATTTTACTTATTGATTTATTTATGTATTTTATTTTGAGACGGAGTCTCGCTCTGTCGCCCAGGCTGGAGTGCAGTGCCCCGATCTCGGCCCACTGCAACCTCCGCCTCCCCGATTCAAGCTATTCTCAGGCCTCAGCCTCCTGAGTAGCTGGGATTACAGACACCCATCACCACACCCAGCAAATTTTTGTATTTTTAGCAGAGACGGGATTTCACCATGTTGGCTAGGCTGGTCTCGAACTCCTGACCTCAAGTGATCAGCCCACTTCGGCCTCCCAAAATGCTGGGATTACCCGCGTGAGCCACCGCGCCCGGCCTGTTTGTTTATTTTAAAAAGAAACGGAGTCTGCTTATGTTGCCTAGGCTGGTCTCCAACTCCTAGGCCCGAGAGATTCTCCTGTCTTGGCCTCAGGAAGTGATGGAAATTACAGTCGTGAGGCTCCGTGTCAGGTTCTCTTATTGCCATATTGTAGAAAGAAAGAGACCCCTGGGTTAAGCAGACACGGGTTAGGTTGTTCGTCCGGCGTCACCCGGCGGAGGCCCACCGCAGGTCCCGCGAGACAAGGGCTGGAAGGTTTATCACCT